CGTCATCGGGGTGACGTCATCACCGGTGTCCCCTCCCCCAGGGTACCGGTTCTTCAAGCCGGGGGGGCTCTTTGGGCTGAAGCAGCCGGAGGAGGCGTTTGCCGAGGGGCGGCCGATGGCGGAGGAGAGCAAGGGGCTGGCGGGGCCCTGCGCCGGTAGGTGACCGGTTGGGACCGGTTTGGACCAGTTTGGGACCGGTTTGAACCAGTTTGGGCAATTTTGGGGCCAATTTGGGGCGGTGGGCTGTTTTGGGGCCATTTAGGGGAGGTTTGGGGCCAGTTGGGACCAGTTTGGGACCGGTTTGAACCAGTCTGGGCAGTTTTGGGGCCAAATTGGGGCGGTTTGGGGCAGTTTGGGGCCAGTTTGGGGCAGTTTTGGGCTGTTTTGGGGCCATTTAGGGGAGGTTTGGGACCAGTTGGGACCAGTTTGGGACCGGTTTGAACCAGTTTGGGCAGTTTTGGGGCCAATTTGGGGCGGTTTGGGGCAGTTTTGGGCTGTTTTGGGGCCATTTAGGGGAGGTTTGGGGCCAGTTGGGACCAGTTTGGGACCGGTTTGAACCAGTTTGGGCAGTTTTGGGGCCAGTTTGGGGCAGTTTTGGGCTGTTTTGGGGCCATTTAGGGGAGATTTGGGGCCAGTTTGGACCAGTTTGGGACCGGTTTGATCCAGTCTGGGCAGTTTTGGGGCAGTTTTGGGCTGTTTTGGGGCCATTTAGGAGAGGTTTGGGGCCGGTTTGGGGCTGTTTTGGGCCAGTTTGGGGGTAGTTTGGGGCAGTTCAGGGCATTTTGGACCAGTTTGGGGGCAGTTTTGGGCTCTTTTGGGGCAGTTTCAGGGCAGTTTAGGGAGGTTTGGGGCTGGTTTGGGGCAGTTTGGAGCTGTTTTGGGGCTATTTTAGACCAGTTTGGGAGCAGTTTTGGACCAGTTTTGGGGCCATTTGGGGAAGTTTTGGGGCAGTTTGGGGGTAGTTTAGGGAGGTTTGGGGCTGGTTTTGGGTGGTTTGAGGCATTTTGGGGGCAGTTTGGGGCTCTCCTGGGGCAGTTTTGGGGCCGTTTTGGGGCTGCCTGGGGGTGTTTTGGGGTAGTTTGGGGCTATTTTTGACCAGTTTGGGGGCAGTTTTGGGGCCATTTGGGGGAGGTTTGGGGCAGTTTGGGGGTAGTTTGGAGCAGTTTGGGGCATTTTGGACCAGTTTGGGACCAGTTTTGACACCATTTGGGGGAGTTTTGGGGCAGTGTAGGGAGGTCTGGAGCAGTTTGGGGCAGTTTTGGACCAGTTTTGGGGTCATTTGGAGGAGTTTTGGGGCAGTATAGGGAGGTTTGGGGCATTTTGGAGCAGTTTGGGGGCAGTTTTAGACCAGTTTTGGGGCCATTTGTGGCAGTTTTGGGGCAGTTTTGTGGCAATTTAGGGAGGTTTGGGGCTGTTTTGGGGCAGTTTGGGGGTAGTTTGCGACTGCTTCGGGGCACTTTGGGGCAGTTTTAGGGCGGTTTGGAGCTGTTTTGGGCAGCTTGGGGCGGTTTGGGGCAGTTTGGGGCTGTTTTGGGGCCATTTGGGGGAGCTTTGGGGCTCTCCTGGGGCAGTTTCAGGAGGTTTGGGGCGGTTTGGGGCAGGTTTGGGGCAGTTTGGGGGCAGTTTTGGACCAGTTTTGGGGCCATTTGGGGGAGTTTTGGGGCAGTTTCGGGGCAGTGTAGGGAGGTTTGGGGCTGTTTTGGGCCAGTTTGGGGGTAGTTTGGGGCTGCTTCGGGGCACTTTGGGGCAGTTTTAGGGCGGTTTGGAGCAGTTTTGGGCTGCTTCGGGGCGGTTTGGGGCTGTTTTGGGCCAGTCTGGAGCAGTTTGGGGCTATTTTAGACCAGTTTGGGGCTCTCTTGGGGCTGTTTTGGGGCACTTTGGAGCCGTTTTGGGCAGCTTGGGGCAGTTTGGGGTTGTTTTGGGGCAGTTTTGGGGCAGTCTGGGGCTGCCTTGGGGCTCTCCTGGGGCAGTTTTGAGGAGGTTTGGGGCTGTTTTGGGGCCATTTGGGGGTGTTTTGGGGCAGTTTGGGGCAGTTTCAGGAGGTTTGGGGCAGTTTGGGGATATTTTAGACCAGTTTGGGGGCGGTTTTGGGCTGTTTTGGGGCCGTTTGGGGCAGTTTTGTGGCAGTTTGGGGCCATTTTGGGGCTGTTTTGAGGCAGTTTGGGGCAGTTTCAGGGTGGCTTGGGGTAGTTTGGGGGTAGTTTGGGGCTGCTTCGGGGCACTTTGGGCAGTTTTAGGGTGGTTTGGAGCCGTTTTGGGCAGCTTGGGGCAGTTTGGGGTTGTTTTGGGGCTATCTTGGGGCAGTTTTGAGGAGGTTTGGGGCCGTTTTGGGGCTGCCTGGGGGTGTTTTGGGACAGTTTTGGGAGGTTTGGGGCCGTTTGGGGCCAGTTTGGGGCATTTTGGACCAGTCAGGGCAGTTTTGGGGCTGTTTTGGGGCCGTTTGGGGCTGTTTTGTGGCTGCCTGGGGGTGTTTTGGGGCAGTTTGGGGCAGTTTTAGACCAGTTTGGGGGTAATTTGGGGCTGTTTTGGGGCAATTTGGGGCCGTTTTGGGCAGCTTGGGGCACTTTGAGGCAGTTTGGGACCTGTTGGGGGCACTTTTGGGGCCGGTTTGGGGCTGTTTGGGGTGGTTTTGGGGCAGTTTCAGGCTATTTTGGGGCTATTTGGGGGCAGTTTTGGGCTGTTTGGGGGCACTTTGGGGCTGTTTTGGGGCTATTTTGGGCAGTTTTGGGTCTGTTTTGAGGCACTTTGGGGCAGTTTGGGGCCGTTTTGGGGCAGTTTGGGGCCGTTTTGGGGCAGTTTGCAACCATTCTAGGCCCATTTGGGGTCATTTTTCCTGGTCTGTGGCCTTTTTTAACCATTCTGGGCCAGTTTAAAGGCAGATTGGGCTCAGTTTGCTGCCATTTGTGGCCATTCTGGGCCAGTTTGGGGCTGTTTCGGGTCAGTTCATGGCCATTTTTGACCACTTTGTGGCCCTTTTGCAGCCGTTTTGGACCCGTTTGCGCCCGTTTGGGGCCCGTTTGCAGATGTTTTGCCCAGTTTGTGGCCTTTTTTAGCCATTCTGGGCCAGTTTGGGGCCATTTGGGCCCAGTTTGAACCAGTTTGTGGGCACTCTGGGCCAGTTTATGGTGAGTTTGTGGCTGTTTTGAGCCACTTTGTGGCTGTTTTGGGCCATTTTGGGCCAGTTTGCAGCTGGTTTGGGTCCATTTGTGGCCGTGTTGGACCTGGTTTGGGCCATTTGTGGCCATTTTTGGTCCGTTTTGGGCCATTTATGACCATTTTGGACCTGTTTTTGGCCACTTTCTGGCCGTTTTGGGCCTGGTTTAGGCCATTTGTGGCCATTTTTGGTCTGTTTTGGGCCATTTTTGGTCTGTTTTGGGTCCATTTATGACCATTTTGGACCTGTTTTGGGCCACTTTCTGTCCGTTTTGGGCCATTTTTGGGCCGTTTTGGCCCATTTGTGGCCGTTTTGGGCCATTTCTGGCCCGTTTTGGGCCAGTTTGTGGTCATTTTGGACTGGTTTTGGGCCATTTGTGGCCGTTTTGGGTCATTTTTGGTCCGTTTTGGGTCATTTTTGAGCTGTTTTGGGCCAGTTTGTGGTCATTTTGGTCTGGTTTTGGACCCATTTGCGGCCGTTTTGGGCCATTTTTGGGCCATTTTGGGTCATTTTTGGTCCGTTTTGGGCCATTTTTGGTCCGTTTTGGGCCATTTGTGGCCGTTCTAGGTCATTTTTGGTCTGTTTTGGTCCAGTTTGTGGTCTTTTTGGTCTGTTTTGGGCCATTTTTTGGCCATTTTGGGCCAGTTTGTGGTCATTTTGGACTGGTTTTGGCCCATTTTTGGTCCATTTTGGGCCATTTTTGGTCCGTTTTGGGCCATTTTTGGTCCGTTTTG